CCCCCCCCCCCCCCCCCAATATTGAATTCAATTCTCGTCAGCTACAATAAAACTGAAAAAAGGAGAGTTTTACAGTTTTAGGCCAGAGGTATATTAATGGGCAAATAACTAAAGCCAGATACTGAAGAGCATGGTGCCCACCCTTAACATCTGGGCATAGGTTATATGAGAGTAACAGGAGTCATCAGATTTTTATAAGCACAATTATGCTATATGTTCAGAAAAAAAATTACTGCTCATCCTTTATTTCTGGATTCAGTTGCAGCTCATTGAACCCAGGCAGACCGTGTGTGATAGGTCAATCCTTTGAAAGGATATTTTCAATTTTCCCTTTCTAACGTGTTTGCTAACTGGAAGTTTTTATAGAAGGGCACAGAGCCTTCGGTGTTGGCGCTGTCAGCTGTGTGTGGGTTGCAGAATGGTACATGGCAAAGGTTTTTGTTCAGAAGTTGCTTAAAAATAAATAAATACTGCTAAAAGCATTTAGTCAGTCACCTGGTATGGAATTTCAGCCACTGGAGATTACTTGGCTAAACTGAACTTTTTTTTTTTTTTTTTTAAAAACAGTCTGTAGTGCACTCGATAGAGCTTCAGCAGACAGATGAACACGATCGCCCTCTTCAAGACTGCGTGATAGTGAACAGTGGCAAAATAGCTGTAAAGGAACCATTTGTAGTTGAAGTAGGTGACTGGTGAGACCAACAACCACAATGGGAAATAAAATGTAATCATTTTTCTTTCAGGCCTAAGTTTTTGACTGATCTCAATTATCCGTTAACTTTTCTCCTCAAACTTTTCTCCTCAAAACAGATGAGGCTATACGTAAACAATACTTAACATTTGCCAAATATATAAAATTGTGGCAATTTCTATAACAATTGCATGGAAGCTTTACTCCTTGAAATTCAAGGTACATCCCACTAAATCCTAGAACTTGCAGAAAAATTCTTTCATGAAAAATTTCAAAATATTTCTATTTTTTCAAGGGTTTGAAATGGAGTCATTTTGTTTTCTTTAGAAATTTTACAGTATTTGTTACTGTCATTTTATTTGAAAACATTATTTTCCAGTGAGAATATTTTGCACAATTCTTGTTAAAAATATTGAAAAAATAAAATTTGATTTCAAATAAATACTTAATAAAGAGCTGCTTTTTTTGCAAAAGGCCTTTTTTCTAATCTCAGTTGATTCAATAAATGATGCTTTCCAAGAAATAAAAGAGCAGGGGTGGTAAATCTCTCTAATCGTCTTGATGTGTCAGATAAAAGTCCCTACTATCTTTCGAAAAAAAGATTGTATTCAGATACAATACTGTAATCAAGATAGAGCAGCTTAGTTTATTGTTAAATAAAATCGTTGGTTAGAAACTGATTAAAAAAGCCCTTGTTTACAGCACAATGGATTTTATAACTCATAACTAATCGTGCCATCTAAGATACAGCTCCAAAACTGTAACTAACTAAAAGTTTTGCTGTATGTTGGAGATGCAGCTTTAAGTTCATTGTTTCTGTAATGCTTCTTAAAAACCCTTAACCTCGCACCTTAATTGGTAGCTTTTAAACAATTCAGTATAAGATAGCACTTGGACAGCTGCATAACATTTCTTTAAACAAGTTAATATTTTCCAGGAAAGAGAGATGTGGATTTTTTTTTCCCTTGAGTTTGCATTGTTTTAAAATTTAAGCTAGAAGAGACAATACCTAGCCCTGGTAAAGGATTCACCTACCTGCAAACTGGTACCATGACACTTACCTTTTAAGTGGATGGTGTCCTGAAGCTCATGTGAGATAGCCAGCCTTTGAGGGCTGTGGGGGAAGCGAGCACTGCAGGGGCAGGGGGGGCCCAATCACCCAGCCCACAGCTTCTAAATACCTGCTGCCCCACCCCAAGGTAACAGGAGAACACTGGGAGCAGGGATGTACCTGGGGTCCTGCACCCTAACGTGTGATTTGTAGTTGCAGTGCTGTTTCTGCTAGTTCACCATCCACAGCCCCAGAGCCTCTTCTGAAGGTAAGTACTGACACTTTTTGCAAAGACCTGTGAAAGGATTACCCTCCTTTTCAAAGAGAGTGCCAGAGGAGTGGAGAAAGCCTCTGAATTTGCCTAGTACTAGGCAAGCACGCTTCTATTTTACCCCTGTTCAGGTTGTGCTGTGCGGTTTTTTTTTTTTTTCTCCCTACTAACTGTTCAAAGTAAAAAGTCACAAAAAAGCTGCACTGACAAGCAGTGTTTGGAAGTAAGAGCACAAATGCTTCCTTATCCCTCATCCAAATAGCTTTGCACTAGTAGTTAAAAACATTTTACTGGAGGTTGATCCCTCAGACAGTAGAGAAAGTTCTACCACCTGAACAGGGGCTCTAATCACAGTTGTACCTTTCAAGTAAGTCCCAACTTTTCATCATCTCCAAGTAGCTTTAAAACAGATTACAATAGTCAGCAGGAGGCAACCTTTGCTTCTCCAGGATCTGATTTGTGTTAGTGCCTAGCTTTGCCATTTTTGTTATCATGTGACATTCCCTTCCTCTGTTTAACGCAATGAATTACCGGCTGTGCAGCTACACTGAAAAATGGGTTTTTTTCCCCTCCCCCAAGACATACAATGTTATAAATCTTGAGCTAGCATGGTGTTGAGAGTTTTAAATGAGCAGACAGCCAAGTATTTTCTCAGGCTTCACGTGGAGACGTGAGTACCACCTCTGATGGAACAAGCTCTGAGAAATGTCTTATTTGAATAGATATGCACAAAGTACATTCATGTTCTAGTAATTTATTTTGTAATGTCCAGTAACACGCACAAATTTCCAGTTAAATCTGAACAAATATATATATACACACACATTTTAGTTTGTTATTTTACTACTTAATCATATTCTGGCTTCAGCTTACCACAAAGTCGTATGCACTGATTCATAAAATGTTAAGATATGGAATACAGTCTGTGAGTTGACTCAAAAGAGTAAACATACATACAGATTAGATGTCATAACTGAATGAGATTCATAAATGCCATGTAAAATCTTCTGGTAGTTAAAATCCTTTAGACTGAAATCTAGACAATTTCCTGGAAGGGAGCTACATATTTCAAAATGTATAAGCATGTTTTCTAATAGAAACTCTACATATACATGCATTGGCTCTGTTCCAACCTAATATTAAGGAGCTATTAAGGAGTTTTAAAATAACTTAAGAAAAATGAACAAAATACTTTTAAGTTACTTTCAATTTCTTCTTGCTTTTAAAATTAAATTTTTTTTTTTTTTTTTTTGCAATCTCACACATACTCTCTTCAGTGCCAGCACTTTTAATCCATCCACTGCCAGCAATGGGGGATGTGCTGGGAAAAATCCTGATGCAAAAAAGGTTTAGTGTAACTTATGATAGAAATCCAGACATATTTAGTAAAACTTTCAATTCTTTTCAAAGTTTAGTGTAATTCAGTGTATGACTTTCAGCTTTTAGTGTTAAATAGTTAGAGCATGTCTATATAATACAAAGTTTAAATAACTTCAATACTGTTGTTTCCATATCTTTTTTTAAAAAGCAGCAGTTATGACATTGATTTTATTTAAAAAGATATAATGCTTGAACTTAATCTGAGGTTGTCCCTCTTGCTTCTGAGCCTAATTATCACATCCCAGAATTTTATTCCCATTAATTCCGTTAGACATGACTTGGAGACTTGCTTCTGCTTCTTCTAACCACATGCCACTTCTACCTGGGCAGTAGATGAGGATAAAATATGCCATGCAGAATGCCTTCTATAACTACATTTGGAAAGTCATCTGAAACAAAAAACAAAAAACAAAAACTTGCTTTCTTATCTACATCAATATGATATAAATGTTTTTGTGGAACTTAACAAGGTAAGGCCTAGTATTATTTAGGTTATTGCATCACTCAACTCTTTATCCGTGTTGGGGATGTGCTATTAGTAATGCTGTTTCAGCACTAAAGCCACTTTAGTATAGCACTGGGCATTGCATGAATGCGCTGCCAGATTTGTAGCTTATTGATTTAAAGGGATGTTCTAATACTTAATGCTGCTAGGCTCCAGCTCTTTATCTGAATCTTTTCTCACAAGGAAGATGGATTACACTGGCAATTCAATTTCTAACAAAATCTCAATACACTTGAAGGAATTCCAAGATTGCTACTGGGAATACTTCAGAGCTGTTTTTCCATTGTGGTTTACAGCAGTGTTTAGACTGAGCAGACTTGAGGATGCCTATACCATCAGAGATGATTTTTTGAGATAGGAAAATTTTAGGCTGTCTAATCAACATAAAATGTCACATTCGTTACATAAAGTCATCCTATAATATCTGAAGGAGAAAAAACACTATATTCTTACCACAGATGTAGCAGAAACTGACACTTCATGTTAAATTTACCATGAAAGGATTACCCAACGAAAAGACAATAACAGATCCGCACAGAGGAAAGGCAGGATGTACATTACTGAAGTGAAAACATTTTTTCAAATGCACCAACTCCTGTCTTCTTAATGAAGGGTTTACTTTAATCACTGGGCATTAAGAGTAAGAATTTCTGATCTTATCTTACGATCTTAAAATAGCCAAAGAAATAGGTTTGCCTAGAAGATGTATTGGAATAAACAGACTGTATCTCACACAGAACTTCCCACTCCAGTCAAACCTTTCCTTCAGCTACCAGCCTACAGGATAGTCAAAAAAAAGTGAGATGCAACTTCCATTAAAATCATAAGATACTTCATCAAGTAGATTACCTAATACAGCTGGGAATTAGTTTTTTGCCCCTAGTCCTTCTGCTAAAATCACTTGGAAGGTAAAAACATTGAGCAATAAGTAGCTCAAGGCTCAAAAAGAAAAAATTCTTATTAGCTTACAGGTGTTAAAACTAGCAAGTATTAATAAGGTGATTCTACGGTATTAAAGATTTTACAAACAGAGAGCTTTTATGGATGTTATTATGACTGAATCTTCACCACAAACAATACATGCATAATTCTCCCCAATTTCTGATAGTTAAGTCATCATTATAAATTACTCATTAATGTTTTGAATCCAGTAATGATTTCTAAAGTCCTGCAAGCTCAGCTAACCCAAATCGCTCTGCTAGACTAACCCTATGCTGTTGTCATTTATGGTATTAAAAATACGCTTTGTAAGAGCAATCTGATGGTTTCATGCTAAATTAAATGCTAAAGTTTCGGAAACCTGTTTTTACTGGTTCTTCTATAACACACAGGACAAACAGTAAATATAGGAAAATGAATATTGATAAAAAATGTACAACTTTACAGGATCCGATTTACTGTGAGGCTTTGTTGCTTAAAAAATCAAGCATAACAATTTAAGTTTAATGTACAAATGCACTGAAACAGTCTCACATATCCCCTACGTGGCTTAAAGAATCTCCAGAACAATTTTCAACCAACCGACGGGAAATCTGAGATTCCATTGTTCAACTTCTGAGGCATCATTTTAGATTTTTCCTTCATTTTTCTTCAAAATAGGATGTAATTGGTCTTTTGCACTTTATTCCAAAAGTGGCTACCTTACACAAAAAAGATGTGTTCAAGTGCACAGCTGTTATAAAAAAAGTGAGTCTGAAAAATAAAATTTGTAACTGTAAATGTTATTTTTGAAAAATTCTGTTGCAACCCAACAATGCTAAAATAATAGCAGCACAGCATTTCATGAAGACAAGTAACAGTATGATGAGGAAAAAAGTTTAATCGAGTATTATGTCCCAGAAA